GGATCAAAGTCATCGATTCCGAGCTGAATGTGTATTGCTGTTTTATCTCTATATAACTCATATTGGTTACAAGTAGATGAACAACAGAAATTTCTGTATACACCATTTGAGCACACATGATCTGATTTTTCGCAGTACTCGAAATATGTTTTCTTAAATTCTGTCTGTTCAAAAAGAGATTTCAATGTTTTCAAAAGTTGGCTGTGCGATTTTGTGAGTCGGCATTTCACAAAGCGCGACGATGACAAGCAACGTTGACAGTAGCGCCATGGTGCGATTGCCAGCAAAACTAAAAAATGGCAAAAATGTCGATCGCCTAAATCAAAAATGGTACAAATTTGTACCACCCAACATAAACAGTGGCAACCATAATGAAGTTGCTGCGCTGCCCAGCTGTCATTGTCGTCGTGCTTTGGCATTTCACTTTTAACATCTACTTTTGACTTCTATTTTATTCCAATGGCTTTTTCCATCGTTGCAACGTAAGAAGCGCATGCTTGGAGTTCTTTTTCTCGTTTATATGATGAATCAAAAGAATGATTTTTTTCCTATACATGTTGTTGTGTTTTTATTAATCGTAATTTGATTTGTTGTTGAACCTCTTTGTTTTGATCTTCAATAGATGCGATGTTCAGTTCAAAAAAATTGTCGATGAGTTCTCCCATAAGATTGAAAATTGTATTTTTTCTATTTTCTGTTGTGGTGTTGTGGGCAATACGTAGATTTCACCAACTAGTTCAGAAAAAAATAAATCAAATTTCTCTTGCTGAATGGAATAAATTGATTTCATAGCAATCTTTGAAGCATTTATTGTCTTTGTTGGAACATACGTTCTATTTTGTTTTTCGATTTGAACTTCTGGCTCCAAAACGTTAACTTTTTTTTCTTTTCGTATAATTTTTATTCGATTACTCATTTTTGGAAATATTTTTATTATATTTGTGCAAATATTATCTTTTTTTTATGTACAAAAGCCACTGGCAGTATCAAAACATCATTCACAAACTAAACAAATATGACAAACAAAATATGACACAGTTCTCCTCAACTGTGGTAACTCATATATTCACCATTAAATGGAGTTGCCTATTTTTATGCAAAGCATATATCTATGCAAAGATAAATCATTGGTTACTTTAACCTCTCGCTCTAAGTATGATGTTAAACGAATTTAAACCAGGAGAAGGATTGGTTTGTGTCTATAGATTAGAAAAGCTCTAATATCCAAAATAGTTCGTATATAAACCGTGCGTTGTTTATGACATTCTCTTCAGTTTAATTTCGATATTATGGTAGACACATATTATTAAGGATATTTGAATTTTTCCTGTCACAACATATTTTGATGTGATATCTCATGATTTTTTACATCTCTGAGGAAAGCTAAAAAAAGAAATCTAATTGATGTTTTGCTGTGATTGTTCAGTGCCTTTTTCCGCTGTAAGCGTGTGTCATTTGAGCAATAGGCGCAAAAGATCAAGAGATGACTGAAAAGGTGGTTTCTCAATGTTGAAATTGCATTGGGTTTATTTTTATTCACTCGTTCCATGACCATAAGATTGCCCGAGAATGAATGTGATACTTCTGCTTAAATTTAATTGGAATGTAACATCGTCATACAAAAAGTGCGGAGGAGAAATTTCACATTCATTCTCGGATGTTCTCGGATATTCATAATGTAGTTTTGTATATATTTTATTATTTGGTATGATGTTTTACTATTGGGAATATTCAAATGTTTTAAGTCATGTTTTCACTCAATTTATAGATAAGGTAATGGTCAAAACTCACTTTTATCCTTGTTCTCATTCATTCCATTAAATCTGAAGAGCTTTTTTGACCTACACACTGTTTTAAATAAGTCTCGTTTTGCAAGGACGAACAAAGTATCGGAAGCAAGATGCGCCTCATTAAATTAGACTATTCATGAAAATATGCAGTTCATTGCCTCTTCAGGATTGGTTACGCCGCGAATGCTTATATACCAAGGTTATACAATTTTGGAATCAGGATTTTATATTAGATCTGATTTGAAAGTTTGAAATACTTTAAACACATTATCTATTATCATGTAAATATCTTCTTTGGATTTTGACTCACATTTAATAGAAAAATGAGATAGAAGTGATGTTAAAACCAAAAATAAATAGGAAAGTTTATAGATTCCAATCACAAATTCTACCAATCAAAATATGAAATGGTTCGATGGATTTTAAGCTTATACAAAGACGTACAAAGATAACCATATCGTCGTCTCTTTTATTTCATCATCTCATTAAAAGCCTTCCGATTTCTTGATGTTGTTGACGTACACACTTTTTCAATGTGTATTTATATCAATAAGCCTCTAGAGAGCAAATCAATCACTTCAACAAAACTTTTCACAAAGTATGTTTTCTTTATCTGGAAATATTTATTTTTTTTTCCCAAAATTGATATAAATGTCAAAGTATAGGTAGGTACAACATTTGGAACTTGAATTTAAAGATATATCTCTAAGCAAGTTGGATATTAAAAGCCCGCAAGCATCACCTTTGAGCCCGCAGGGCTGCCCGCTTAAATCGCAATGAGAAAAATAAATTTTAATCTTAGCCAAAGCTAGTTTTTTTTATTATTGGTAAAAAATAGCCGCTTTTGTGTTATTCACAATTATGTGTTTCAATTTTTTGAGTTTTTCCTTTCCAAAATGAATTTTTTGGCTGCATATTCCAAACACACTGTGAAATAGGGGAACATTTGGTGTGAGCATTACCATTTTCTCACATATACAGTCTGTTGACATCGAAAATGGATACATATCCGTATGTGTTTGTTTGTGAACCGATGTGTCTAGCAAAAGTAGCAGATATCTTTCATCATCTTTGGATATGCGACTTAGAATATACACTATATCGTCGTTCATTGTGGCAACCATAATAAAAAAATGCCACAATAATACAAACGATGTTATGTCTTATATAAAAATAAAGAAAATACAACATATTTAACTGCCGAAGAAAACCATCTGAAATGCAATACGTACATTTTTGGTGGCGTCGACATGTTTTATATTGCCCTCAAATTTGCGAATTGTATGACTCATAGTGTTATTGTGATAAGTTACGTAACAGTGGCTTATGTCGGTAATTTTGCAAAAACATTTCCTCCTTCCGCATTGTGTTTGGGAGAAAAGAAAACCATACTTGAAATTTGGAATTGAAACAACATTCCTAGAATATCATTAGAACTTAAATTTTATCACAGTCAACGTTCGCTTGAAAAAATAAATTGGTTATGCCGTGGGATTTCTTTTTTTTTAAATATATATGTGCTCTTACGCTGTTCCGTTAATGATATTAATTTTTATAACACATGAATTATATTCGCTAAACGTGTGCAATTATACTAAAATGCATGAATTCGCATGGCAAATAGTTACTTTTATCCTTAACCATACTGGAGAACAATAAATTCAAACGGCGATAACACCACTTTTTCTCGCACAAACAGAGTAACAATGCCTTCTTTCAGTTTGGAAACAACCAATGGATTTTCGTTCAATAACGTGACCTTTTAGGATTTCGTTGTGGTCGGTGTTTTTTTTAAACTACCAATCAGACTCTTCTATTAATTTGGTAAATTATTTTGGTTTCGGTACGTGACTAAAGTGAAATTCACGTGTTCTATTTGTACGTAAGATTTCTTTTTCGGGCACGAAATCGGCGCTATTTAACATTTGATTCACAGCCAACGCACACCTTTTATATGATTTTTCAAATTGTGTTTTTTTATTGAAAGTACCATTTGAGTTTTCGTATGTGAGATGTAAAATTTGCATTCAGGATAATTTATTCAAGCTAATAATAATTTTTTAACGTAAACTCTGGCTATATTTTTCTTTTTCCCTTTCTCTCTTTCAAAATTCACTATCTTTTCTTCGTTATCTGACGCTCATCCATCTCTTTCTCTCTATTTAATTGTACATCAGATTAAATTGCAAAATTTAAATCTGCTTGAATTTAAAAAGTACGCATAGCACTTCCGGTGGAAATAACGAAACGATTGTGTAACCTTATCAAATATATAAAAGCGTGTGCATTGTTTTGAATCACATTTTGGTTCCAAATGAGAGATTTTTTCGAATGCACTAAAAAATTGGATAAAAATCTAGATTCTCAAAATAAAACTACGGGATACAACTTTGTGTGTGATTTTCTCAACAACGCTTCAAACGTTCGAGCTAAATGTATCTATTTAAAAGAAAATACCCTAGCAAATGTGTTCAATCTTCATAATGCTACACACACACACACACACACACACACTGATGTGTAATGGAAAATGTGTTTATGGAGTTGATTGAATTGAATCAATTCGATTTGATAATAACACATCCGAATTCATATATTTTCTGCGTAGCATGTACAAACCAAAAACAATAACACACCAAAATAATCAAATTTTAATGAACATAGACTCCCACATATAAAAACAACTGTACAATTCATAAATAAACATGTTGTACAATGTAAAAAAATGAGTCCGACGACGGCCAAAGTTGATCGTTCTACAGAAGAAAATATTATTTTTCTGCTTATTAAAATTAGACAAATAACTTTCCAAAACCGATATTTTTCGGCGAAAAAGAATGTATCCCTCGCATTATTTTTCAATGAATTTATTTTTTTCGCGCGCTTGTTCAAAGACAGTTGATGACAACAACGGCATCCAACTTTGGATGTGACATATGAACGTGCTTTTCTCTCGTGCTGCATTGTCAGTGTATATGGATGTGATATCGACACAAACGTTTACTCAAATCGCCTGTGAGCGAAATAGAATGTTGAATGCGTATATCGCCGCAATGATACAGCAAGGAGAACGCGAGACCCATTCTCGTTGAGAACAAATGTGATAATATTTTGGCTTGCACACTCTTCATTTACTTTGATTCATCGCGCGCTCAAAACCTACCGACTAGAGCTTGTTTCATTCAGTTGTATCGCACACTTCATGTCATTTGGATGGATAAATTCCAACACTCGGCCCAACGATACCAACGACACGCAACCGATAACCGAACAAATTTTTCGCAACACGAATCATTTGAAAGAAGTTATATATCAAGTTTAGAAAATACCGTTACACATTTCAAGTGACAGTTTGATTTCGGAATTCAAATAGAGGTACTTGATGACAACTTAAAAATATAGTTTTGCAAAACGTTGTGCTTACGAACCGTTAAGAACTTGTTGAAAAAAAAAATGTAATTTTATTGCAGTTATCGAATGTATGTGTGTGGGCGCGCACGAGTTTTGCAAATAAAACTGTGTTTCTGGCGTGCTTTTCGATTATTTTCCGCATAGGTATTGCATTTCTAATGGCAATAAAAATAAAACTATTCTTTTACATTGATTCGCACTCAAAATACAATGAACCATTTTAAATATCAAATTGATTAATATTTTGTGCCTCACGTTACGCTTCGAGTAATCAATTCTTTTTTCCTCAGTTTTTTTTCTATATTCCGGAACAAATATATTCGACTTATACTTATTAAATTAAAATATTTTACAATTAGCAACGTGTCATTCTTCTGCAGAAGACAGGAATAAAAAAAACAAAAGATTGAAAGCTCAAGTTCGGTTGGTTTTCGGAATAAATAGAATCCATGATGAGATTCGAATTACTCTTTTCACAAAATAAGTTAATTTCAATGTAATTTTTCATGCTTGCCGTATTACACTCAAACAATACCGAAATTCATAAAATAAATCACTTTATTGAAAGTCCAAGATAATGAAACACAGCAAATAAAAGGACGTATATCGCACACCATTTAAGTTGAATGCTTAAAACTTTAATTATCGCCCGGTTACCCAATTTTAGCAATTCATTCTTTTCGATTTCGCCGAACTCAATTTAAAAATTGTCATCAATTATTCTGCTCTATTTGCAGTGAGAAATGGTTTTTTTTCGAATTTAAATTTCTGTCTAAATTGAACGAAATTTCAATTAAGTGGTTACATCTATACACGGAAAGGCATATAATATATTAGTAAGTAGCAAACTTCCAAATCTATTGTTGTTGTGAGCTTTTTTTTTTCTATCTAGGATATAAACGTTTAAAAGAGTTATTTAAATGAAGTATTTTTGCTCTATTTGCCGGAAATCGTTAGTTGGTGTTGAGAATTTATCAAATTACAGAGAACGAACCAACAATTAACATCAATTGTACTGTGTATATATGTGTGTGTGCAAACATTCTTGATGCGTTCGTAATTAAGTACATCCTTACCTGCCGGATAACATGTGAGATTCAACATGAAAAATGAGCAACACATTTTTTCCGCTTCCTTTCTGTACGTGTTTAATGTGAATATGTGTCAGTTCAAAGTTAATCGTATTGTTTTACTTTTATGTTTGTATACTTCTAAAAATTGCATCGTATTACCGGAATGTGTTTTCCTCCGTTTTTTTTTTATTTATTTTAAGTGAATGTATTTTCGAAATCATATATATTATATAGCTCTGACTGGCCTAGCCCACAAAAACCAAAACAGACTAAACAATATTTCCCATTCATTGAATTGGTTTTCAACTTAAAAGTGGTTTCGTATTGAAACTGACTGACCGCCGTTAAAATTTTAAACACCAGATCAGAAGTCAGATACCAAAATGGGAAAATTCTACTTTCAATTTGCAATGAACTGGTGGTTAGACAAAGGAAAAGTCATTTCAACCAACAAAAAAAACTACGGTATTGTTTGATACTAATTCAACAGATTCAATCGTACGCCGTGTTTTAAAATTACTGAGAGCACCACTCGACAATGTGTTGACTTCAAAATACGTCAAACTCAAATAGCGTCTATTCTGTGAATTAAAATTTGTAATATTTTCATGTTTATTCACCGCTAAGACTGAATGAATCAAAGTTTGAGTGTTAACATAAGTTTTTGTTGAGAAGTGGTATGAATCAGAGATGAAAGAACATCTCATCACCCTTAAAAGCCACATCTTTTCAATATTTCTCTTGAAACTTTGTTATTTTAAAATTTGCATTAGGAGAAAATTTGATAAATGAATAGAAAACTAATAATTAAATATTTAAATGCAACTCGAATAAATGAGATAAACAAAAAGAAAGAAATATATTACACATTAGATCGTTTAAGAAAACAGTATTATGATTTGACATCAATGACGTTAGAGTTGAGAACAGTTCGTGGACTTTATTTGACATTGTATACATTTGATTGAGATGTACAGACATATTTATTTCCAAGTGTTTGACGTTTATGAAATACTCTGTTAATTTTGTGACAACAACAACGACGATTGTAGACTTAGATAAATGTTTGGTAGATCTAGATAAAATACCAAATCTTATCATGAAAAACCAGACATTAGGCTCGAGCTATGCATATAGCGGCTGCTATTTTATAGGTGCTATTCATAGGCGCTATTTAATTCGTGTGCTGTGTGTAACACCGAGTAGGAATATCATAGCCTACTATTCTTTTGTACATTTGAATGTGAGTACGAGAGAGATGTAGAAAATAACGCACAATATGCATAAATGCATTAAAACGAGATAAATAGCGCCTATGAATAGCAGCTATGAAATAGCAGCCGCTATATCCATAGCTCAAACCTAATGTCTGTGAAAAACACAAGGATAAGATGATATCTAAGGCAGCGATCAAAAACGATTTGACATCTCTCATACAAACCGATTTCGGAGCGATATCGCGAATTGGTTTCATTTGTGTATTGAACGAAGAAAGCGAAACCGTCCCGAAAATTGTTTGTATGGCACTGACAAAACTATGATTATGTGTTGTAAATGTCAACGAATGTTGAGAATTTGCCAACAATTGTTATACAATCGTGAATACATACAATGAAATATTTTATATGTATTTAATGTGTAGAAACCATTTTTTGAACGTTCCGGTTGCTCCGGTTTGCTTTCAAGTGAAACCAAAAAAAAAAATTGGCTGGTTTCGGTTTGTATCGCTGATCTTTAGTGTATCTTAGATACTTTCAAAGATATTTTTTGCAGAAAATATCACCAGAGCGCTGCTGCCATCCACAGCATATTAAAATATTTTGCTGTCCGTCGCATGCGAAGGTACGTAGCAGTTTTTACATCACAGCGAACAACAATACATGCATTGTTCTCCATACAATCGTTTGAATATTTTGAGTCAGATAATCGTGAAGAGAACAATGCATGCATTCTTGTTCGCTGTGATGTATAAACTGCTACGTACATTCGCATGCGATGGACGACGCATTTGGAGCAAGATATTTCAGTATGCTGTGGATGGCAGCAGCGCTGAGCAATACTCTGAATATCACGAAATGTTTCGTATTTAGATACTCAAAAGTACACCCACAAAAAACATTTCTTAAACAGAAAAAAAAAATATTCAAAAAAAAAAATAGAAAAAAATGTCAAAATATCTAAAAAATGTGAGAACATCAAATATTGCAAAAAATATTCAACGTAATTGTATCTAGATAAGATGAGATATTTTATTGTAAAAATAACATAAGAAATAACAACAATCTTATCTGCATCTTCATCGATATCCTATGCTTAAAGATTGACGACCAAATATCCCCAACAAGCAGAAGAACATATTTGTGCAACGAAGTCAAAAACACACTTCAGAAAGTTGGCTTTCAAACAAAATACAGCCGTTGAAATTCTCGCCAAATGAAATTCTATCTAAAAATGAATGGGGTGAAAATACGTGATAAACATTGAAAATTATTTTTGATTCCATTCAATTAATACATTGAGCAGTATAATAGGCATCGAAAGAGAGAAAATCGACGAATTTTATAACATTTTGAATTCATTTGATTAGAAAAAGAGAACGTAAAGGAGTTGGAGAAAAAGTGAGTCCTATGTCAAATTTAGGAGACTTCACCAACACCTTTCTTCGAAACATTGGCTTGCATTACATTGACGCCTTCACAATAGAAAAAATTGAAAAATTATGAATGACGCCGCGACCTCTAATTGATTGCCCGAGAATGAAAGCGAGACTTCTATTCACAACTTATTGAAATGTAACACCGCCATACAAAATATGCTGACAGTCAGACTAGCAGTCAGAATTTTTTGTATGGCAGTGTTACATTTCAAAAAGTTGTGAATAGAAATCTCGCTTTCATTCTCGGACATTCAATTTTGACTATGTGCTTGAATTAAAAAATTGTTTGCCGTTCAGTGTTCGTACAAAATTTGTTTCATTCAAACTTGAAAGTACGATCGGCGCTTAAAATAGAACTTACACATTTTATGAATAGACAATGTCAAGAACATTACCGAAAAAAAAATTAGAGAATGAAAATTCATTCATGTTGTTGTTAGGTGTTTTGGATTTGATGGGTTCAAAGGTTCATGTGAATAACAATTAAAGCATGAATCCAATGTACTCGATAATGTGGACCAAGATCTTGTAATTGATAAAATGACCATAATTTGAACGGTTGAAACATTCAGTCCATGCTCGTAATGTGGGAAGAAGAAGAAAAAAAAAGCTTATTCATCCCATCACCTTCTATTAACATTGGCAACCAGTCATGATTTTTAACATTTGGCCTGGTTTTGACAAAATTGGTTTGTGAGCTAATAAAATATTTAAATTTCAATTTACGTTGAAAAAACTTTTCAATACAAACTCATTACAAAATTTTCTATTGTACATTGTATATTTTGCTGCTGTCGACACCTACAAAGCGCTATTATGCAATGTAGAGAACAACACATTTTTCAAACATAATTTGGATTAAAGTTTTATATTGATTTTTAGTTCGCCTTAATGGCATTTTCAATTGTGCACAATTTAATGCAAACGACGGTTCGAAACGAGAAAAAAAAGGTTGCAACATTGCTAAACTGTGAAAATTGTGTTGTTCACTTCATCAATACAATAATGAACAACAAAGGATTGGGGCCATTAGCTATGTTCAGAAGCAAAAAAAATGGTCTAATGAAAGAAACAACAGCGCAAATATTTATTTTTAACCCTGAAAAATGCAAATGAAATGAAAATTACTTTCTGTATTAGTCACGTATTATGTGTAAATACAGCGTGAAAATGGTGATGAAATGAAACAAGATGGAAAGAATTTTATGCATTAAGTTTCTACGTAGAGCAGTCATTCATCGATAGGAAAGCACTCTTATGCAAATGAAAATCGCTTCAGATGTTTGTAATTAGTTGCCTTTAGAAGAAGAAAAAAGCGAGAAAATGATATGCTCACCTTCAACAATCACCCTTCAATTTTTGCTATCGACAGACACTTATTGATTGCAATAATGCGATTTTTATGATGAAAAAATAGAACTTTAGCATTGATACATTGATATCGATGTCAACCTTCAATCTTCTCTGCAAGGAAGAAGGAAGTAACAACAGGTGCGGCATTTTCTCGAGCTTAAAAATAATTTGATTCAATTAAACAAAGTCATTGCTGACGTTTGTTACATACTGCTACCTTTGTAATATAAAATGCAATGCGTACATTGCGGTAATTACACATAAGAATATGTGGTATGGCAAAAATGTCACCAGACCTTTTTTGTACACGTTATATGTAAATAGAAGTCTTAATAACATCATCGATAAGCTTCAATATTTAGCTAATCTCATTCTTCAAATACAAATTGTCTTACTTAACATTTCTCATTTTACGATAAACGTATCGTAAGACAGTAGTTAAACGCTCACATTACATCCTGATTCTCAAGATTTTTTTTTGATTTTTTGTTTATTTGGAAAATCTGCAAAAACTTTTCGTTTAAAATGTGCGGCAAAGTAGTTTCAGAATGTTCAATGCAATGTTTCGACTGTTTTTGGGAAATGAACTAACTCTACCAATATTTTAAGCTTCGATCGTAGTTTAAAGAACAAAATTAATCATTAGAATGAGATGATATCAAAATATGCCACAACACTTGTGAACTCTCAGGCAGCTGAGCAAATATAAAATCAAATATCTTCAACAAATTGATTGCAAATCGTCTTCATGAAT